CCCAGGCCTTTCAGCGCCAGCCCTGCGCACCGCTCCAGCCCCGCGCCCGGCCCGCCCGGCCCTTCCAGATCCGCCCCAGCGCTCAACCTCTGTGGCCCGAACCCGCGCCTTCGAGTGAGGACCCGGCTCACGCCTCGGTGCGCGCAGGGGACCAGAGACTCTCCAAAAGTCGCTACGGCGCGCAAGGGCGGGCGCAGGTACCGCGGGAAGGCGAGCCTGGGGTGCCGAGCCTCCTGGCTGAACGGAAGATCTGAGTCCACTTCCTTCCTTGCGGCTCTGCGGTGGCCAGCGACGCCTGCCGGACAGAGCGATCCCGGGAGTCGGCGGTGACCTTGACCTTGTGACCCACTGAGACAGGCCAGATGTCTCGCAGAGGTTTTGCCTTTTGTGAAACCAGGTTTGAAGGTTAAAACTACTGTCGTAAGGACCTCCCCTTTGCCTACTGCCCCAGCAGAGAGGAGAGAAGAATGAAACGTTTTCTGAACAATTGGAACCTTTCTCTCCTTTGCTCCCCCACCAAGCACTTCAGACTGCCCACCTCACAGCATTCTTTGTACTAGGGGTAGGAGGACTCATTAAACCAAAGATGAAGATAAGATGCTGGACGCCTTTGGTCTCAGGGAGCTACCTGCCTATTCAGTGAGGTGAATGAATGTGCATCACCGTTAATTTTACTAAGCACTAAAGAAACAATTCCCGCGTTTCAGACTATGCAGAACACTCTGGACTATAAAAGGATGACTAAGATAAATATTATATCACCAAGCACGCTGTCCTGATCAGATTTATTCATGAGGCAACAATCCAGACATCTACTTCTCCTATGGCTTGAATTTGAATTTCTGGGTTTACCCTTTTATTCAGCAAAATTCTAAATAGGCTGTGGATGAGCTGTTGACTTAAGGAGAGGAGGCAGTTTTGAGAAAACTTTTAGTAGATCACAGCTGTGCATCGGTGATGGCCCAGCCCAATGCCATATAAGTTACAGAATGTTAGGGGAGAAATAGACTTTCTGGGAATGGGGCCAACCTGTCAGATGTCTTTAGTGTTATGCATACGGAAAATAGACTTGGGTTTGCTGTTTGGATTTTTTGTGAAGAACTTTTTCATTAAAAATCAAATCAAGCCCTGGGAGTGTGATCAGTTGGCTGGGCATCTTCCCAGGCACCGAAGCGTTTCAGCTTTGATTCCCAGTCAGAGCACATGCCAGAGTTGTGGGCTCGATCTTTGGTGCGGGGTGTGCAGGAGGCAGCTGATCCATATTTCACTCTCACGCTAATGTTTCTCTCCCCCTCTCTCTTCCTCTCTCTAAAAATCAACTCCAGATTGTAAATGCTTCCATAAAAAAATGGTTTTAGGTGGCCCTGCCTGCTGGCCTGCAGTAACCATTTGGGAGCTAGTGTGAAGTGCTCTGACTACTAGTATACCCATCAACCTAGTAACACTTTCTTCTACACACTAACACCTTTTGTAATGTTTCTACATTTTTTTATTTCATAGAATCATCTTCAAATGATTTAAAAGCAAATTGTCATTGAAACCAGGAAACCAGGAGCTTCAGTGATTCTCTCCTGTAATTTCTAATTAAAAAGAAAAAGCTATAAATGCATAAGCAACCTTTTTCAACCAAATGAAGGAAAGGACATATTGGCTTTTCTTTTTATGCAATTCATTAATCTATACATTTTTGCACCTTCCTTCCCCACTTTAGTTAAGTAAGATAGATTTGTGTCCGGTGCATGGTAGGTAAGCATTTGGTAATGTTAACCTACTTCCTTGCTTCCTTCCCCTACTCCATGTTCACCCTTAAGTTCTGCAGTTATTCCAATTAAACCAACAGAATGACTCAGATCTCATGAATATCAATTTCCATTGTATTCACTTACCTTGGTTGGGTGCAAGACCCTACTTTAGTCTTATCTTGGTGTGTCGGGTGAGGTGGGCGGGAGACACCTAGCAGGAAGATATGGCTGGGTCAGTGGAAATCAGTCATGACTTCTCTACAAACTAGTCATGAACCACATAAGGACATTTCGGTCAATGACAGATTGTATATGTATACTAGTATGCCCATGGTCCCATAAGGTCTTAACAGCTGAAAAATTCCTATTGCTTGGTGACATTGTAGATATAAGGTCATATAGCACAATGCATTACCTTTGTGGTGATACTGGTGTAAACAAACCTATTGCACCACCAGTAATATAAAAGTACTAGAGGCCCAGTGCACAAAATTCATGCACTCCAGCAAAGGGGTGGGGGGCAGGTCCCTCAGCCTGGCCTGCACCCTCTTGCAGTCCAGACTCCTTGGGGGATGTCCACCTGCTGGCTTAAGCCAGCAGTCAGACATCCCTCTTGCAGTCTAGGGCTCTCGCAGTCCAGGACCCCTCGCTCCTTACCGCCCACCTGCAGTGGTGGTGGGAGAAGCTCCCACCACCACTGCTGTGCTCTCCAGCCATGAGCCCAGCTTCTCCCCCTGAGTGGCTCTCCCCCTGTGGGAGCGCACTGACCACCAGGGGGCAACTCCTTCATGAGCATCTGCCCCCTGGTGGTCAGTGCACGTCATAGCGACTGGTTGTTCTGCCATTCGGTATATGTGCATATTAGGGTTTTATTATATAGGATAGCACACGCAATCATGAGCAGTACGTAATATTTGATAATGATAATAAATGATTATGTTACTAGTGTATGTATTTTCTATTTGATACTTTTTGTTATTTCGGAGTGTAATCTTTCTATTAATTTTTTTTAATGTTTGTTGTAAATAGTTGTGGTATTACATGGGCAGCAACCTCACCCATCTCATCTTTACCTTGTCTCCTGAGTGTGTCATTTCTCTTGTGTTTTATTTAATCTCATTTGTTTTGTACAGAAACACGTTGTACAGGCTTATAGCCTAGAACAATCGACAATACTGGCTAGGTTTGCATAAGTACACAAGATGTGCTTTCTCTTAAGGTGTTTGCACAAGGACAAAATCATGTAAGGGGTGCATGACTGTACTGATTGAAGATGAAACATGTTGATTTATTCACAGGGCAATGGTTTGTTCTTATTTAAAATGAATGGAGGGGAGGAGGATAAGGGAGGAAAGGCGTTATGGGAAAGTAATAATGCCAGGTGTTCTTATTTATTCATTTAACCAATTGGGAAACTGGGATGAAAAACACGACTTCTACCTTCAAGAATCTATAAGAGAACAGACCAAGGAGAGAGAAGGGACCATGGAAGGCTTTGAGAAGATGGCTCCAGGAATAATTAGGAAAGACTGAAATGGGGAAGGAAGAGGGCTGAGGGTTCATCTTAAAGGGAGCAGCATATGTAAAGGCCAGGCAGTGAGGACTAGGACAGTAGGTTAGAAATTACTAGGGTTCTGTTTGGCCAAGGAGATGGAGTGTTATGCTGTGGAAAGACCTTGAAGGATTTTAATAAAGCAAGGAAGCAAGGTAGAGATCAGTATTTTTAAAGGCTTATTTGTGAGGGGAGGTGATATATGGAAGGGGACAGGAGGTGGGCTTCTGGTGTGCTGACCATGTTTATTGATATAGGCACTGGTTAATGGTTGTGTTTGCTTGGGGAAATTCATCAAGCTACATGCTTTCATATATTATACTTTAGTAAAGTGTTTTTAAGAAAAACCATTCTGTTGTTAGTAAAGGATGGATTGGGTACTAGGGAACCAAGATAAGAGTAGAAATAAATGCAGTTGCTGTTATATAGATATGAAACAAAAAGCTGCCTGAACTAAGATACTAGTTGTAAGAATAAGAAAGAAAATTAAAGGAGGGGACATTAGGAATCCCATCCTCCAGAAAGCCTTTCTGGATGCCCATATGCACATATCCAGGGTAGACTACATGCCCCTCCTGTGTGCTGCCACAGATGCATTTTTCTGTTTCAATCATAATTCCATCCCGTGCACAGATCTAGGCATCAAGTAGTATTTATCACCTCAGTGAATACTTATTGAATTAATAAGTGCTTTTTAAAAAATATATATGTTATTGTTTTTTTACAGACAAGAAGGGAGAGGGATAGAGAGTTAGAAACATCGATGAGAGAGAAGCATCGATCAGCTGCCTCCTGCATACCTCCCACTGGGGATGTTCTCGCAACCAAGGTACATGCCCTTGACCGGAATCAAACCTTGGACCTTTCAGTCCTCAGGCCGATGAGCCAAACCAGTTAGGGCATGAATGCTCTTAATTACCTTTTGGTATCTGTGCTCCCACTAGAATGTGGGTAGGTATCAGGAGAAAATGGCTATGTGAATGACTTGCTGTGACCTTAAGAAGCCCCTTAAGCCCTGACCGGTTTGGCTCAATGGATGGAGCGTCAGCCTGCGGACTCAAGGGTCCCAGGTTTGATTCCGGTCGGGGGCGTGTACCTTGGTTGCAGGCATATCCCCAGTGGGGAGTGTGCAGGAGGCAGCTGATCGATGTTTCTCATCGATGTTTCTAACTCTCTATCCCTCTCCCTTCCTATCTGTAAAAAAATCAATAAAATATACATTTTATTAAAAAAATAAAAATAAAAATAAAAAGGAGCCCCTTAAGCTTTCAGTGTAAAATGCTACATGTGTACTAATCAGAACCCTGGTGACAGGCATCACATACTTGGTCAAATTAGGCTGGCTCTCACTGACCCAACCTGGATCAAGAGCTCATTCTTGAAGCAATCACTGCAACAAAGGGACATCGCTGTAGACCCTCTTTTGGAGCTACAGAGTGGAATCAGCTCCATCTAAACCTCAAGGCCTAACAGTGGGGGGAGGGTAGTTCTCCAAAAGAAAAAATACTGTTACCTGAAGAAGAGGTGGGCGTGCAAAAACAACATAGCCTTGTGTAAATTATTATTATTCTAAACTAGAGGCCCAATGCACGAAATTCGTGCAAGGGACTCGGCCCTCATAGCCACGGCGGCTGCCCTCAGCCCACAGCCCTGGCTTTGTCTGGAAGGTCGTTCAGCTAACTAGTCTAATTAGCACATTACACTTTCATTGTTATAGATGAACTCTAAGCCACCTTAGAACTGTAAACATTCTACGATTCTTTTTAACTTGGTAACAATCAACACACGATTCTTTGTGTACTGAAAGTCTTCTTCGCTTGCACAAAATGTTACACAGAAAAACTAGCTTTCAGTGGCAACAGGAGGACAACGAGGTCAGGTATAAAGGAGGGCTTTTGGAACCTGAGGGTTGATAGAGCAGCAGAGAGGAGGGCTTCAGACATCAAGGCTCATTTTTTCAAGCTGAATGAGTAATCACTCACGACGTGTCCAAGAATGACCTATTCAGTTCCAAAATGTAATATAGGACATGATTCTCTGGGGGCAAGAACCAGGCCAACTGTGGTTCCTAACAGCCTAACTCATTCTTTGTTCCTCCCCAGGGGAATGGTTCGTTTTAAGCCTGTGCTGGTGCTCCTCACCAGAGACATTTGGTGTTTCCTAGGGAAGCCCCCGGACACACTCCAAGTGCTTAGGGCAGGGGTGCTCAACCTGTAGGTCGTGACTCCTTTGAGGGTCAAAAGACCATTTCACAGGGGTCGCCTAAGACTATCGAAAAACACATATATAATTACAGACTGTTTTTGTGATTAATCACTATGCTTTAATTATGTTCAATTTGTAACAATGAAATTGGGGGTCATCCCAACATGAGGAACTGTATTAAAGGGTCGCGGCATTAGGAAGGTTGAGAACCACTGGCTTAGGGTCTTCCCCAGAGCACCCAGCTCTGTCAGCCTGGGCTCCAAGAGGCTACCCTCAAATGGTTGCTAATTTTTATTGGATCTGAGATTTCTGTGACTTAATATTGACCTGAAAAGGATACTTTAAATTTTGCTTTTTTCTTGAAGAAAGAAAAGAGCAATTCAGAGTCCCTCCCAGTATGATATACTTACTGGGAAATTGGGAACAACCAGTGAGCAGGTGTGGTCAGAAAGGTTAATCCATATGCAAAAAGGTGGGGATTGTTTCCTTTGGCAGATGAGTATGAGAATGATTGTTAAAAATTATCAAGAATTGTGTTAGTTCTCCCTAACTGGTTTGGCTCAGTGGAGAGAGCGTTGGCCGGCTGACTGAAGGGTCTCAGGTTTGATTCCAGTCAGGGGCATGTACCTTGGTTGCAGGCACATTCCCAGCAGGGGGGTGTGCAGGAGGCAGCTGATCGATGTTTCTAACTCTCTATCCCTTTCCCTTCCTCTCTGTAAAAAAAAAAATCAAAATATATTTTAAAAAAAAGAATTGTGTAAGTTCAACAGCAACACATTGTCATTGTCCTGTTAAATCCTGGATAGAAAAATCCTTGTTTACCTAAGTGCAAAGGACATACTGCTCATAAAAGACATTGTTATAAATAGTACATATGAGAATGTACTATATTTATTGTAGGGCTTTAGTCTTTTGTGCAGTCAAGTTTTTCCCGTACGCTTACTTGACTGAACAGGTAATGCAAAATTTTTGGATGTTCAGAAATATGTATGTAATGCAATTTTGATTAAAGTCAGATATGTTTGCATGATATTTTATATATTTAGAGGGTTTACCTCTGAATTCTTGTTGAAATCCTCTAAAATACAGAAATCATGACTCCCACAAAAGAAAATTATTTTGACAGTGAAATGAACATGCTAATATCACACAGTGCGATATGTGTGATCTAAGTGTAGGGTGAAAGTGGCCTTTCCAAATCCTCTTCAGGTTCACCAGTACTATCCTCTTACCCCCACCCCAAAACTACTTGGGTCCTCAGTCAAGTGAGCCCAAATCCTGCATGGTCAGGAACTTCAACTTACTGGATCTGAGCCTACTATGGCACCCACCCTATGTCAGTACTTATGTGTGGCCACTCCAGGCAACCAGACCCTGACTCAAGGAGACAGCCCAGCCCACCTCTCTGAAGATGGAGGAAGGATCTTGACTACTCTCCCTTCCCCCTGTCCTGACCCACTTTTCACACAGACCCAGGCCACAACTCACAAAAGAAAATGGAGGGAAAATGCATTTTCCCCAGAAGTCAGGTAATTCTGCCCTGACTAGCAAATTGCCCCCAAGTAACCAATCAGACCACAACAGTGGGGACTGAGTTCCATCACACTCATTCCTGTGACTCTTCCCTTAAGAGGGGTCTGAGAGAATTGAAATATTAGGAAATACTTGTTGGATTAAACAAAATCAATGACCTATAAATGATTTTGGGAAAGTGTGGGAATGCATGTTGCTCATACAGCAAAAAAAAAAAAATTCTGAAGAAATAGGACAGCCAAATTTATCATTCTAGGTTAAGCTTATTGTGGCTGAATACATCATAGCCCAGAAATCTTACATGACGCATGAAGGTGAAGTCACATTGAAAATGCTGGTGATAACAGGATTCTTTTCAAACGCTCCGAAAAGAACCTTTGGTCTGTATTTACCCTTGGTGATGTTTATGGCAACTTAACAAACATAAGGTCTTAGAGAGAAAGGGAAGGACAGATGAGTGAATAAACACGGCCGGGCTAACTGCATCGCAGGAGCTGCTGCTGTCCTGGCAGTGTCTCTGGGCTTTGCATAAAGAGGAGATTTCTCTCTTAAGTGAGCTCACTGTTCAAAGACTTCATTTCCTGGGTCAGCCAAGACAACAGAGAAATGGCAGCAGCTCTTTAAGTCAGAGACATTCAATGTGAATGACAGAGGGAGACACTGTCTGACCCTCCCCCCCCCCCTCACAGAGCCCACCGCTCCTCACTCCCACCAGCTCTCGTGGCTCTTTGGCTCCCTTGAAGCTCCCCTGGGCACATGTCCCAGGCCACAGATTAATAAAGAGCGATGAGGGTTGTTGTTAGAGTTTGATAGGTTGACCCCAGGACTGGCTGTGTTCCTTTGAAAAATAAAATACTTTCATCCCCCCCCACTTTACTTTGATGGACGGTGGACTGAGAATTGTCCTGCAATGACATTTGCAGGACTACATTAGAGTCAGACCTTGTTTGAGCTTATAAACCCACAAAAGTATAACTTCATGCAATAAAGTTTATTGAATGCCAATCATGTGCCAGGCACCTGAGGGACAGCTGAACAAACAGACCGACATTTCTGCCGTTGTGGGATAGCTAGCTACCACACTCAGCCCACCCATTTGAATGATAGCTTTAGAGCAATTCCAGACCTGAAGAATCCAAAGATTGACATGAGACACTGTGATGTGTTAGGCCAGCATACCGTTTCTCGAAGCACCATTTTCCTTTTTTAAAAAAATATATATTTATTGCTTTCAGAGAGGAATGGAGAGGGAGAGTGAGAAAGAAACATCAATGATGAGAGAAAGTCATTGATTGGCTGCCTCCTGCAACCCTACACTGGGGATTGAGCCTGCAACCCAGGCATGTGCCCCAACCAGGAATCGAACCCTGACCTTCTGGTTCATAGGCTGACGCTCACCACTGAGCACACTGGTTGGGCCTGAAGCACCATTTCCTTGATTGCCTTGTCACTCTGTGCTTTGTCACTTCTGCATTGATCAAGTGTCATTGTCAGAGTAGAAAGCCCTTTTTCATGCCTCTACCTTTATACCTTTTTCTGGTCCATTTACAATTAGGTAGGCAAAGTTTGTCAGATTGCCAATGAAATTTTTCAAGTTAAAGGGAAGATGGTTCCATTGGGGAGGGGTGGGTAGACATGAGTCTCTCCCCGCCAGTTTCCACTGTCTCCCTTTTAGTTATAGAGATGAGGAATTACAAACCAGAAGGAAGCCATTTAGCCCACACATGTGCTCCAAGCAAGCACTATAATTAAGTCAGATAAAACTAAAGGCAGTTGGTGGTATTAGTAAGAATTCTTTTGGTTGTAATTATAGTGATTTACTGCAGGCAGCTTTAGACAGAAAAATAGGTGGGAGGAGGCAAAATTTACTACCATTCTAAGTGGCATCATCTATTGCATAGACACCAGAAAAAATAAGGGTTTGTTATTTCGCATATGTCCTTTCCATTTATCATCAAAAAGGCATCTGAAAGGTAAGAATGTAAAGACTAAAAGTAACTGAGACATGGTAAGAAATAAATTTTGATATTTTGATGAATAAACAGCATATTATAGGATGGTTTGTATTTGACCTTCCTCCTTTAATATAAGCTTTGTTCCACGCCTTTCAATGCACATTGAAAACATGACTTTATCATGGTTTCACCATGTCACACATGCACAAAAATCTGTAGTTGTCGCTGGTTGGAATTCTCTCTAAAAATAGGCACACCCTGGACCGTACCCTGTATAAGGAAAACCACCAGTCAACAGCCCTTAAGTGAGCTCACTGTTCAAAGACTTCATGCACACAGTTTTAGTATCTATTTTAGCCACTTACTTTTTTTAAATTTTATTTTGGTGTCGTAAGGACACTTAACATGAGATCTACCCTCTTAACAGATTTTTAGATGTGCAATGCAGTATTGTTACCTGTAGGCACAATGTTGTACAGTAGATCTCTAGCGTGTACTCATCTTGTATGTAATCGTTGATCAGTAACTCCCCCGTTATGCCTTCACCACAGCCCTGGCAACCACCATCCTATTCTTTGCTCCTATGAGTTTGATTGTTTTAGATACCTTATGTAGGTGGAATCATACAGTATTTGTCCTCCTGTGACTGGCTTATTTCACTTAGTATAATGTTGTCCAGGTCCATCCATGTTAACCTCCAATTTCCTGTCGTGTGTGCGTGCGTGTGTGTGTGTGTGTTTTAGACAGGTGTGTGAATCTGGCTGAAATATTCTGGGAACTCAGGGGATTGGGGGTCTTGAAGGGACAAGGTGGACTCTCAACTTGATCACCTATTTTTATTCAAAGTCCTTCTGGTTTATTCCTTCTGGGGTATAAACACACAGACTTTTATCAGGATTAAGGAGAGAGTCATCTGCGCTATGAGAAACATCTAAGGGGTTTCCTATTTGTTGCATGGGAAGAAGGAGGTGGAAATACTTCTTAAAATAGCAAGTTTAGAAAAATTGGGACACAAAATGAATGCCCATCAGTAGGAACAAGATTAAGAAAATTTTGGTACTGTCATACCGGGACATACTATAGAGCCTATAAAATCATGATTTAGACCAGCCGTGGGCAAACTACGGCCCATGGGCCAGATCCAGCCCGTTTGAAATGAATAATAATAAAAAAAGACCGTACCCTTTTATGTAATGATGTTTACTTGAATTTATATTAGTTCACACAAACACTCCATCGATGCTTTTGTTCCGGCCTTCCAGTCCAGTTTAAGAACCCATTGTGGCCCTCGAGTCAAAAAGTTTGCCCACCCCTGATTTAGACAAACATATGTTACATAGGAAAATGGTCATAATGTATGACTAAGTGAAAAAAATGCAGGCTATAAAATATGTGTAATGTGATAGTATTTTTTTACAGACCTCTCCATTGTATGATTTCTATCTCTGTAAGTATTTTAGTTGTAAGATAAAGGATATTGTTATAAGATAAACCACGGGGTAGATTTCTTCAAAAGACTAAAAAGTTGCCTCTTCAGAAAAATTGTGTCCCCTTTCATGCAGCTAAATAGTCTTCCCAATCATTTGGGCTTTTTACTTTCTACTTCTAATCCTTTTATCCGTGTGGCTGAAGATACTTCTGCCATGACTAGTTGGTCAAATGAAGAAGTGGGGTGCAAGCCCTATGACACTAAGTTACCCAGGATCTATTGCAACTGTCTCTGGCACACACTGAGGACAGTCAAGGGTTACTGGGGCCTGGAGCATATAACATGAAGAATGAACGTGAGCAAGTTGCCAACATCTTTAGAAGAAAAGGAAAGCGGCATTTTTGTTTCTTTCCTGGACTCAGAAGGAATGCTTCTATTGTATATCATCAACTATGAAAATGGCTGTAATCTAAGATTACTATAGATTTTTATCATCTTCAAGAAGTGTCCTTGTAATCCTGGTTTTCAGAGAATTTTTATTTTTTTTAAATGCTTACTAAATTAAAAACTCAAAAAAGATCCATCAGATGTAGTAATTTTTAGAACCATCCTCTAGTACATTTGGTGTTTAGATGGTTTCAGTTATTCATTACTATAAATAATGCTGGCGTGGATAACCCTGTACATGAATCCAGTTAGGAAGATGTGCAATGGGGCAACAAAGGACAGAATTTAACCACAAAAGGAACCAGGGCCGCAGAGTGGATTAAGGATGGGTACCCTAGCAAGGAAACAGGAAGCAGTCCTCTGTGGAGCTCCCAGTCCAAGCAGCCAGTCTGAGAATGAACGGGGCTTGGGAAGGGAGCTGGGATGGAGGTTGGGGAAGGGAGGGTGGAGCTTGATTATGGGGCAGTAGTCAAGTGGAAGAGAGGACGGAAACCCCTCAGCAAGTTTGTAAAGTCACAGTGGGAGCTCAAGTGCAAACAGGACATCGTTTCTAATGGGTGAATAATATTCTCCAACCGCTGCACTTTTTCTATGTCATCCTAACATACAAGCAAAAAGGTTGAGGGTAAGAAGTTTTACACGATTAAGATCTTTAGATTAGTAATGCTTTACCCCAACTCCAGGTCATTTTCTGGAGTTATATTTCTTGACTAACTTAAGATGTAATCTCTTCAATTTTAGCCACTGGCCCCAAACACTGTTATTGAAGTAGCCAGTGATGCGAGAGTTCCATAGACACGGTGGTGGCTGGAATTGGCTTACACATAGGATCTCTGCTAGTGTGTATTAGCTAAATGGAAATTTTTATATTAAATCTGGAGAAGTTTGGATCTTGACTCAAGAGCTTATTGACTGTGTCACAGTGTAAATATTTTTAAGTAGGGAAGGGACATAACCAGTCAACAATCTTTGTTTATCTGACTTGATTTATTACATCAGAACTGAGAAATAGAATTGAGAACTGTAAACTGGAGGAAGTTTTTAAAGGTGATCTTAGCCCAGAGAGGAAGGAGAATGAAGGTGTGTTATAACCAGAATACTGGGGGAGGAGAGGGGGACCTTTTTTATTGGAGGTGGTGGTGGTAATTAAATCACAACAGTTACATATAAAATGAAAAATCCAAAAAAACGCCAAATATAAAAAAATAGATAAATGCAAAATTTAGCACAAACATATAAAGATTTTAATATAATTATTTAGAGTTAAATTTTAATGAATGGGAAATTATACGATGTTATGTTAAAAGGGATAACAGCTCAGCTCTGGCTGGGTAGCTCAGCTGGTTAGAGTGTAGTCCCTATGCCGAGGTTGCAGCTTCAGTCCTGGTCAGGTCACATACAAGAGTCAACCAGTGAATGCATGGATGGGTGGAACAACAAATGCATGTTCTCTCTCTCTCTCTCTCCTCTCTCTCTCTCTCTCTCTCCCACATACACTTCCTTTCTTTCTCTAAAATTAATACATAAATAAAAATTTAAAAGGGATAATAAATATAAATAGTATACAATGTGATTTCAAACATGTAAACTAAAACATATTCATAGGAAAAAAAAGTTAAAATGTATCAACATGCTATCAATGGCTGTTTCCGGGAAGTGAATTACAGATTTTTTTCCTTTATTTTCCATTTCTTTTAAACTACATATATATTATTTTTGACAACTGGGGGTGGGATGGGGGAAGAGATTGATCTTTCCCCTTCTTTTAAGCTCTTTTTAACCCAGGAGTATTAGTAAAATATTTTTTTCTCTCTCCATAAACTTCTGGCTGCTTAATATTTAGTGGACAAATTCTAGAAAAATGAAGGACTCTACCAAGGCTAGCACTACAACGACTGTTTCTGAGCCAGAGACTTTTCATCTGTGTTATTCATTCACTTACCTGTGAATGGATGCTTTGTTTTGTTTTGTTTTGTTTTGTTTTAATGGATGGACATAATGATACCCTAATGAAAGATTCAGGTTTATGTTTACTTGAAGTAAAGACAATAAATATGCCTTTGTTTTATCATGCTTTACATATTTAATAAAATAATCTGAATTAGAAGTCCAATGTATCCCAACTGTGACAACTAAAAATAAGTTTATTTTTTCATTGTTTTCAGGTGCTTAGTAAGCTTTACCAATAGTCTGTGAGAACTTTGGCTTAATTTACAGATAGGAATTAATACCAATAATAAAATTTATAGACACTTTTTTACACATCTTAAACTGTGAAACAAGTTTGGGGTTTCTTCTCTGTCTTTCAGACATTAGGAGAAAGAGGTTTCTTCTCAATGGAAAAATGTATTCTTCTTATCCTAAAGTAAAGAAAAATGTGAATAAGTAAGTAAATTTTCACTCTGGGGAAACGCCCTTTAATCCCAACCCCACTTTAATCTAAATTGGATTTGTTCCCAAATGTACTTCATTTCGTAGAGCAGAATGTAAAAGCCACAACCACATGATCCAAGTAACCAAGAAACCACTCCTCCTCCCATGGGGGCTCGTTAGAAGCACAGAATGTCAGACCTACTGGCCAGACCTACTGCCTCAGAATCTGAATTCTAATAAGAGACCCATGTGATCTGTAGGCACATTGAAGCTTGAGAAGCACTGGGCTAGACAACTTCTTGTTGTTTTCACACGCCACAGACTGAGAAGGCAATTGATCAAAGAAAATAAATGAAACTTGTGAGGATGATGAAAGTGAAACATCTGTTTGCAGTCTCTAACAGAAATGTGTTTTAGAGCTGCAAATGGATGATTGTAATTTTAAATTTAAATTTTAAATAATGTGCATAAAATATTGGAAAAGTCATAACTGCAATGATTGTGTTGTTCATGAGAAAGAGGAAAGAAGCCCAAGTGAATAATAATTTTTAAAAAAGATGACAAGTGAGGACTGATTGGACTATCTAAGTGAAGTACATTTAATAGGAGAAGTTCCTGGAAATATTGTAACCCCTGGAAAACCTCTCTTTGAGAGCATTAATTCAAAGGTGTTTGTAAGATATGTGAAACTTATCATGATTCACACACTAAAGTCAATAGGTTCCCTTGCTTTTCCCTCTGTTATCTGCATTCTGTTTAATTTAGCAGTCTCAAGTGGTGGAACACCCTATACTTTTGTGGAGGGGGAGATGTGAGTTAGCAGCAAGAACATTCTGAACATATAGTATGCATTCATCACATACATGCCGGTTCATCATTCATTGGTCATTCTTGTTACAAAACGTGATTGAGCACTTAGCCTGTCAGGCCCAGTGCTAAGTTCTAGACCAGTGATGGCGAACCTTTTGAGCTCGGCGTGTCAGCATTTTGAAAAACCCTAACTTAACTCTGGTGCTGTGTTACATATAGAAAGTTTTTGATACTTTCAACCATAGTAAAACAAAGACTTATATTTTTGATATTTATTTTATATATTTAAATGCCATTTAACAAAGAAAAATCAACGAAAGAAATGAGTTCTCGTGTCACCTCTGATACACAGGTCATAGGTTTGCCATCACTGTTCTAGATACACAATGGTGAGTCAAAGAGACACAGTTCCTGCCTTCATGAGCTTCTGATAGTGTGTGAATTACTACTGATCAAATTTTGAGTTACCTGTAGATTTTGTTCATCCATGTTATTTCTGTGCCTTGTACCTCTCTACCTTTTTTCATTAATAATGAGAAATGTTCAATTCTTAGTTATTGGTCTGATTCATATTGACCAATCAGTTATAATTTGTATACAGATAGTGGCAGTTTTTATGGCAAAATGTGGCTGGCAGCTTACTGATGTGAAGCAAAGATAGATAACTGTAACAGTTACATATGGTAACATGATCACTATAAGGGCTTGACATGGGCTGGAGATAGAGGGCTGAGGCCTGTTCGGAAGGCAGTCTGGGTGAGTAACAATGAGCAGGAGTCATGAACAACTCTCCTACATTGTATGGATGGAAGTAATGCAATTATGGTCAAAATGAAACATATTTTTAAATCATATGTCCTCAATTGAGGAATTGGGTAAATCTATTTTATGTCTTCAAATGAAGGTAATTTTGTTTTTTCAAACCAGTCTTGTAACACGGCATTTAGAAAATTATTCACCTTGAAAATAAATTGCTTTACAAGTTTGCTTGGAATGATGAATTTACCCACTGTAAGCGGACCTGACAACTTGGGTGGAAAGTTGAAATCAACAGCCCTCAATGGGCACGTGGCCCAGACTTGGGTTGAATCAACCATTGCTTCATGACACAGATATCTTTGTAGATTCTGAGTGTAGTTGCCTCCCAACTTCTAATCCTGCAATCCCATAGCCCTGGCTTTGTGCCTGTTTAATCACCACGACTCGTTCCACCCTTGTTTTCCAGCGACTGGAGTCTCTGCCACGATGGCCCAGTGATTCAGAGTATAGTCTCAGAAGTTGGGTGGACACAAAGTTTGTAGTTCTGTCCTCGCTACCTCCTAGACATGGGATCTTGGGTAAGGCAATGTCTCTATGCCTCAGTTCTCACGTGGAAAATGGAGATTAAACATCTCATCTCATGGGATCATGTGGATTACGGAACTACATAAGACACTGCCATGCCTGGCACATGGTAAATGGTGGCTATTACTACTTATTAAACCCAGGTCTCCATACTGGTTCCTTTTGCTACTTGAATATCCTATAGCAACAAGGGTTACTGTTTATTTGATTGTATTTCCTTGTGTCTTAGTTTCTTAGTGGCAATATTTTCTTTCTACTGATTTCGTATTCCAGAGGCTGTCTCCCTGGGGATCCTTCTCCTTTGTCCCACTTTTGCTGACCTCTCACTGTACTCCAGGTTCAACAGACACCCAGGCTTGGTCACTGTTTGTCTCAAAGAGGCAGTCATGCCTAGTGGTTAAAAGCCACAAAGACTAGCTGCCTGGGTTTGAATCTCAGCACTTCCACTTACCAGCTGAGTGACTCTAATAAATTATTCAACCTTTCTGTGCCTCAATTTCTCATCTGTGAAATGAATTGTACCTGTGTCATGTGATTGTTGTAAAGATGAGAAAGATTAATATATGTGAAGAATCTAGAATCGTAAGTGCTACACAGCATGTGCTATTATGAATCTCACTTGAGTAACCCCGAGCTTGGCACTTACCCCCTTCTCTCTTCTCACTCTGGGGTAACCTCCTAATTGTAGAGATATTTTTTAGGATTGATATACTCAGCTTCATGTCCCTAGACTATCTGGACACTGCTTGTGCTTCCATGTCAAGACCCCTGCCCTCTCCACATCCTGCCACAAATGATCCTGGCAGACATTGGCTGTGACAGTGAAAAATGAGGAATATTTTGTTCCAAACGTTATGTCTGTGAGGAACAGTGCACTGCACCCAGACTGGTGGCCTCCTACGTAAAATAGGGTGAAACCAAGGGAGCCCAACAAACCGGTTGCTTTATTCTCCCTTACTTTCCTCACCCCCCTCTCCCCATTTCCACTGGTAAACAAAGGTCATCCATCTGGAAGCAAGATTCCTCCCCACTGAGGCTGACTGCGCGCTACAGTCTCTTACGTGGCTAATACAAAGCAAAGGAAAGAGAAGTGCAACTCAGAGCATAAACGTCCGTTGCATACATGGGGTCAGTTGTTAGCTGCACTGTTACTGTTTAAATTCCACAAAGAGGCAATGTGGCTAACCGAAAAGTAACCGGAGAGAAGCAAGGCAAAAGAAGATTGAATTTTGATTGAGAACTCTGACTAAAACATACTCCACAGGTGTGTAACCTGTTCTGTACCTTTAGGGCCTTGGAGGAAGTCGGGGTATTGGGGTCTTACTTCTCAGCCCTCCGTGCCTGGAATAGTACTTGGCTTGTGGCAGTAACGTGTTTCTGCTGGGCAGTCCTGGCTTCAAGCCTCCCACGGGGAAATTCCTTTTAATGCTCCAAATCCCTTCCAGGGCCACTGTTAATATTTTCAAAAGCAAGATGATTATTAGCTTATTCTCTTTTTAGCACAAAGTATTTTAAAAATATTTCTGTGGTAATTATTTTTGTCAGTCATTTGGGTGACAGTTTATATGGTTTGATTAATCAGACCAAAGGTCTTTATTATTTGTTTAATCTTTTATTCCAGTTCATTCATTTCATTATTCCTTATGCAGTTAAACCGCTACAGTGCTTAATTAGATCATTTAATTTGGTCCTTAAGAAGTAGATGAAAACCCAAGATGGAAATGTAAGTAATGAAATGCAGAAAGATCAAGAATATATAATAGTTAAGATATAGGTTTCATTCAGTCAACTTCGACTGATTCTGATTTTTTTAATTAAATCTTCATTGTTGAAAGTATTACGTGTGTCCCCTTTTTTCCTCCATTGACTCCTTCTAGCCAGCCCGTCCCTGGCCTTAGGCATTCACCATTGTCTCTGTTCAAGGGTTATCTATATATGCATACAAGTTCTTTGGTTGATCACTTTCCACCCTCCCCTGCCTTCCCTCTGAGATTCTACAGTCTGTTTTATGCTTCTAGGTCTCTGGATCTATTTTATTCATCAGTTTGTGTTGTTCATTAGATTCAACGTATGAGTGAGGTCGTGATATTTGTCTTTCTCTGATGGGCTTATTTTGCTTTGCATAATGCTCTCCATGACCCTCCATGCTGTGTCAAAGGGTAAAAGATCCTTCTTTTTTTCTTAGAAGTGCAAATATTTCTAAAAATAATATAACCCAAAGTGACCACATTAATTCATCCAGTAGGTTCAATAATCTTCTAAAAGCCATAAACTAGATGCTGTTTAATCTCCCCTTTAAAGAAACATAAACTCATTCGAAAACACTATAGCAAAATATTTGGAATGTGCTGTCTACACATTGGCAGATTATAGGCTTAAATCCTGATACCATTCAATAAGTATTGGTTTAGTAATGATTTGCACTGGGCTTTCCTCCCTATCCTAAAGACAACTAGTCCGTTTTCAGAGCCAGTCAACACAAATTTGGTGAAAACCTACTGTGTAGAAACCTGTGACCCAAGTCGAGTAAGGTCGTGAATTCAGGTTAGCGCCCAAGTTGTTTTTCCCATTTTGGAAGCTGCAAATTTCAATGGCAAACATTTTCTACAGATCCCATGATGCCCACGGGCATCCACGCTGACATCTGATCCCTCGCTAAAGGATTTCATACTGTATAATAATTAGGGGCACAGCCTTAGAGTTGGTAGGAGATCTGGGTTTTAGTCTCTGCTCCACCACCTACCAGTTGTATGACTTTGGGCAAGTTATTTAACCCAGTATGTCCCAGTCTCCTCGTCTATGAAATGGGGATGATAATAACTACCTTAAAGGCTTATTATAGGCCTGGGATAAAATGGAGAAAAAGTGCTCTACACTTAATAAATAGAAGCTATTCTTTGGAAAGGGGAAACAATTTTCCGGTCCAAGTATGGACTTGGATTCCATTTCTAGGAGCATCATGACTGAGCTAATTCTCTGAGCTGAATGTCAACGCTTGCTTCTCCTTCCCTCCCCTGAATAGAGCAGCTGAAGCTATCTGTCAAGATTAGTTTCTTCCTTCTTCTTCTTCAAAGACCTTCAAGGAAAACTCCACAATCTCCTTCTGTCAAGACTTACAAGGTTTAAGTTGTTTCTTGTATCTAACCTAAATCTTCCCCCAGCATTCAAACCAGGTTCCTCTTCTTCCATCAAATCTAGAGATAGGAAAGGGCTGCTCACCAGCCTCTGGATAGTAGACTCTCAGATCTAGGAGTCCCCAAATGACGATTAAATACCCCCTGGGCAAGGCACCCCGTAAGAGACCAAGGAAGAAGGTTTAGATTTGTTTTGCACTGTGGGAATGTCAGGTAAATGGAATACAGTTTAAAATCAGTTGGTAGAACTATGTAATAAAACCATGGCCAATTAGAGAGAAGACCGGCACTCGTCTGATTTAGTTGTGGTCTTTTGGATGCGATCACAGGCATAGCTGGACGTTTACAAGTAAATAGGAAAAATACCTGAAATGCAGATGTTCAGAAATGCATGGGAAAAAAAACCACCCTAGAAGGATAATATGTGCATAAGCATGTACTATACTCAAGGGTAGAGGCTGCTGGAAAAAAATAGCATTACTTTGATGTGATGTTTGGATGAAGAAGTTACGAATGATGATATGTTCCCCTGGAGAAAGATGATATATTCACCTGGAAAGAAGCGCGGATACCCTGGGAAGCAGCTGCCTCTTTAAAGAGAAATGCTCCCTCCCTCCAGGTCACGGTCATGGCCACGTGCATGCCAGGAGGAAGGAAGGAACACAAAGGGGGGGCAGCGCCAGAGACCTGTGTTGGCAGCTGGACCCGAAAAGGAAAAGGGCAGCAGGCACAAGAGAGAAGCTCTGCGAGAGGAATTAAATTCTTTCTCGAAACTCAGAATCTTCCAGACATTCTTCTTTCTCCTCCTCTCATGCCTCCAGCCCTTTCTAGTCAGAGACCTTTTGAGGTATGTGGTTTTTTTTAATCCCCACCCGAGGATATGTTTATTGATGAGAGAGAAAGAGAGAGAGAGAGAGACAGACAGACAGACAGACATCAATGTGAAAGAAACATCGGTTGCCTCCCCTACTTGCCCTGACCTGAGATTGAACCTGCAACCCAGTTGTGTGCCTTGACCGGAATGAGCCTGCAACCTTTCGTTGTATGGAATGACACGAGTCAATCAACCGAGCCACACAGCTGGGGCTTAGGTGTGTTTTTTTATTCTGAATTTTAAAGTTACTAAACCATGCCTTTATGCTGGAAAGTGCAGCCAGTGGGGCCTGGCCTGGTCTCTCAGGGAAGGAAAGCTCACCCTTTAAAAATATTTGTGTTCCCTTCAGCTATCTCTGGACTGTGCACAATGAACATCAGAGCCTGAAAAGCCAGTTTAGAGCCATACCATCTATGCCTCCTTTGTGTAAACACGGTCGGATCTGATCAGAGGAAGAAAAATGTAAGTGATTTAAGTTTATGTTTATTGGCTTCCAGGCTCTGTAATTATCTTGACATGCCCTTAGCGTGGAGTGAATTCCTTGCATATTGTAGGTAAGCGAAACATTTTTGTTGAATGAATTAACAAATAACAAACGTTTCCACTCTCACTGAGCAACATTTTACATTTTCTAGTTGGTACTAAACTTAATAAATAAACCAGACTCTAAATTAAGTTTCTGTGCATTAACACACACAGAGACACAGATGAATGGATTTGGTGGGACACTATTGAAAGTCACTGGGAAAGGAAATACGGAAGAGGAAACTAGGAAGCTTCATTAATCAAATTTATCATGCCGAAACCGGTTTGGCTCAGTGGAGAGAGCATCGGCCTGCGGACCGAAGGGTCCCGGGTTCGATTCCGGTCAAGGGCGTGTGCCTGGGTTGCGGGCACATCCCCAGTGGGAGATGTGCAGGAGGTGGCTGATCGATGTTTCTCTCTCATCGATGTTTCTAACTGTCTATCTCTCTCCCTTCCTCTCTGTAAAAAATCAATAAAATATATTAAAAAAAATTTATCATGACTACTTACTAAAGTTCTGCAGGTCTTAGCCAGAAAAATACAAAAGGCTTTGCAATGTGAAAACATGAAATTAGAATATTAGTTTTATTTCTGCAAAGTCCTCTGTAGAATCTCTTAGAAACACAGAAATCATTTTAAGATAAATCATTCCATAATGCATGCCTGCCAAACGTACCTCTTCTTTTTAAAAAGTTGTAAGGAGGGGGAAATCTTCAGGGAATCACTGAAAATATGTGAATGATGATGTCTGTTAAATTCTCATATATCCAGAAAGTTCCATAAGTTGCCCCAAATTCCATTTTCACCTGACAGGAGATCTGATCAGAAAATTGCATTTCTTTTCTTTTTTTTCCAGAATGCTGAGAACCTTTCTGTAGGTTCTGGCTCTGTTCTCACCTGTCAGGAATGTGTGTGATGAAGCCTCTGCTCTGAATCTAAACTGGGGCTAAAACTGGGGAAATGTGCCAACTTTTGTTTTGGTGTTGGTTTTGTTGTGTGTGTGTGTGTGTGTGTGTGTGTCTGTGTATGTGTGTGTGTGTGTGAACTGAATAGACTACTATTCGCTAACATAGTCCTGTTTTTTAAAGAGGGACAGTATAAATCAATGGTTAAGAGTCTGCATTCAAATATCAGCTATTTCAGTATGTGACAATGGGCAAGTCACTGAACCTCCCTGAACCTTGCATTCCAGATCTGCAAAATGGGAATAAGAAGAGCACAGGGTTAAGAGAGATAATTTGTGAACACTGCCATGTCCAGAAGACACACTGTGAATGATAGTCATTATGATAATAATTAGTATTCCCATCATTACTATCATCATTATAGATAGATAGATAGATAGATAGATAGATAGATAGATAGATAGACACCCTTCATCTACCTCACCCCTCACCACAGCATCCAATGCTTCTTACTGAGCCCATATGTCTCTGCTTCAGGAGCCTGGGAAAAAATCAAAAGCCCAGAGAAGAGAGGATTTAGAGGCCTGGAAGCCCATTTTTTCTGTGGCCACTGATGCCATTCCCTAAACCCAAGTATGGGGACACAGCAACCACCACCTGGGACATCTTGGCCACTGCACCGTCTTCGCAGCTCTTGTTAACTGATGTTACAACACAGACACAAGCACAAGATGGGACAGCGTGTGCAGCTAAGGGCCCCAGGAGACTGCACAGTTCTTTATTCCGAGTCCCCTGTTCCTACCCAAACAACAGCACCCCAAAAGAAACGTGTTGCTCACTCTGTTAGATGTCCGTACACCAACTTCTGGATCTCCTGATTTTTTTTTTATTGATTTTTTTTTACCAATTTCACTCAACCCAAGGAGAGAAAACTTTTGATCATTTACCAACCAAAGAAAAAGAGAAAAAGCACATAAATAATTTAAATCTAATGCTTCTGGATACTTACCATTATTAACTCAGTCACAATTAAACGTGATATAATGTGAGGTGCTTAACTTTGGGACAAACCCCCCTCTTAACAGATGGCATCATCTCTGCAGTAGGTTTACCTCCATGCACTTTCTTATGTGCCCATGGTAGGTGCTTTATCACTGATTGAGGGGAAGCCCAGTCTGGACACTGTTTGGAATCTCACCTTCAGCAACCGTATCATTGTGAGAGTCTGTGAAATTGATTGTTTAAAAATTCAAATGAACCAACTAATGTATACACAGCTCCACAAACATGCTCGGATACATGTATATACCTTGGAGTCCCTAGAATTGAGATAGACTGGGGTATACCTAAGAAATAGTACATATTGCTTCTCTATCTGAGAGAACTTCTGAGAGAGAGCGAAACCAGGCAGGTAATATAAGGAAGTAAAGTCAGGGGTAAAATCTAACTGGCTCTTCCAGTCTTATTTTCTTTCTACTTTTACTGGAAGCATGAATGCCAGAGAAATACTTTTTCCCCATTTCTGCCACAAGAAGAGGAAGTCTGCAGTGAATGTGTAAACATTAAATAGCATGTGAAATACCCTACTTGACTGCGGAACTGGGTGAGCAACGTTTAACAGTTGAGTGGAGAAGCCAGCAGGGACAGTGTGACTGTGAATGTCGACTCTGTTGTCACATCTTTCTTTCTCTTCACCCAAGATAATCTAGAAATCTAGATTATTTAAAATGTTGACAACTCATTCATATATTTAAAAAACACAATGCAGAACAAATAAATATGTCCATATGTTTACAAGAGGGAGCTAGCGTATGAGCCAACAGTTTGGATCCTGAGCCAAGCTAAGATAGCCCTGATAGCCTAATGAGATGCGGGATACGGTGATCTGGAGTGGGATGGAGGAGGGCTCTCCGGTTCTAGACTTGGATAACAGGCCATGGCATTCACTGGGATGGGTGACACATGGGAAGGAGCAATGGGAAAGGTATGAGTTTAATTTTGGACGCAGACCCTAGGTACTTATGGGACATCTGGGAAGAGAGATTTAGCCTGGAGACAAAGATTTCAGAAGCATAGCAGTGATATAGTAGAGGAAACTACAGGAATAGCTGAGCTGATTCGGGGAGAACTCATGAAACTGGCAAACATCCACATTTGAAAATGGGGGTGATTTAAAATTATTCATAAAGGAGGATTAGAAGGACTATCCAGAGAAGAAAAGAATGAGGTCATTTTAGTATCAAGGAATTTGAGGAAGGAAGAAGGGTTAAGGAGAGAGCCATCAACTATGTCAAATGTTGCAGAAATCCCAAGCCACTAGATTTAGCAATAATATGTCACAGGAGGCACTCCAGTGAATAGAAAGTCAATGGTGCCCTGGCCTGGTGCTCAGTTGGTTAGAGCGTCGAGACCCATCCTCGCTACCTACTGGCTTTGACCATGGGTTACTCATGTCTTCCTTTTAAAAATATTTTTTTTATTGATTTCAGAGAGGAAGGGGGAGAGAAAGAGAAAGAGAAACATCAATGATGAGAGAGGAGTGAAAGATCTATTGGTTGCCTCCTACATGCACCTAGACTGGGGATTGAAGATCAACCTGGGTATGTGCCCTGATGAGAAGTAATACAGAAATCAACCAATTAATGTATAAATGAGTGGAACAACAAATCTCTCTCTCAATCTCTCTCTCTCCCTTGCCCTCTCTCCCTCTAAAATCAATCAATCAATCAATCAGTCAATCAAACAAACAATCAAGAAAGTCAACTGCATTTGGGGTCAGACCTGAATTTGGAATTCAGTTTTGCCATTTACTTAATGCATAACCTTGGACAGTAAAAAAAACCTCTCAAAATATTGGTTTACTCATCTATAAAAATGGGTAACACTACTAATATATCTCAAAAAAGCCATAACAGCTATAGCACATGGCTTTGTGAGAATCTGTGGTAAGTAAAATAGAGACTCTGTCCTCAGGTGGCTTATGTTCTAGTGGGAGAGTCAATAATGGAGTACACAAATTAATATATAATTCAGGAAGTGATAGAAAAAAGCAGAAAGAAGAAAGTAATATAAAGGCTCCCGCAGTGGTTCTCAACCTTCCTAATGCCGCGACCCTTTAATACATTTCCTCATGTTGTGGTGACCCCCAATTTCATTGTTACAAATTGAACATAATTAAAGCATAGTGATTAATCACAAAAACAATATGTAATTATATATGTGTTTTCCGATGGTCTTAGGCGTCCCCTGTGAAAGGGTCATGACCCACAGGTTGAGAACCACTGGCTTAGAGAGTAACTTGGGAGGGTGGGTAGTTTCTATTTTAACTTGGTAGAGAGGTTACCTCCAAGTGAATGACATTTGAAGTGAAATTTGAATGAAGAGAGAGAAAGACATTTGATGATCTAACTGAAGTGTAAAAGTATGTGTGTGTGATGGGGTTGGGGGGAGGGGGAGAGAGTAGGTTTGGCCTGCTCCAATATATCAAGAAAGCCTGTGTGGCTAAAGTGGATTAGGAAAGTATAGGAGATGAGTTCAGAGAGGTGAGTTGGCCATACAAAGAGATTAAAACGTAAACAAAGACTAATATGGAGCCATTGGAGGGTGTTGAGCTTGGAGGTGATGTGCGAAGATTTACATGTAAGAGGTCCCTCTGATTTCTGTGCAGAGAATAAATGACAGTAGAAGCTGTTACAGGATTTTACTGTTGAGCCTGCAAGAGATGATGGGGGCTTGGGCAAGGCCGCAGTTGGGGAAATTTGGGCTATATTTCAAATGTAGATTCAACAGGATCAGTTGATAGACGGGATGTGAAGTTTGAGGATTTGACTTCTAGGTCTTTGGCATAATCCACTGAGTGAATGGTGGTACAGTTTCTTGAGAAGGTTGGACCTGCTGAAGAGTGGGATTTCAAAAGATGGAGTAAGAACATGAGTTCTGTCCGGGCCTGTTAGGTTTGAAGAACTATTAGATATCCAAGTGGAAAGTTAATTAGACGTTTGGGATTTTAGGGGAAAGCAGAAGCTAGAGAGATCAATCTTGGAGTACAATATGATTAGATATGACCACCCAGGGAGTCAGTGTTAATAGAGAATAGGGCCTGTGATTGAATTCTCCAAAGTTTAGAGCAAAAATTCTCCAAAGTGGTATGAACGAAACCAGGAGATTGGAGCACGGTGACCTGGAGGCTACTTGAGAACGTGTTTTAAGAGGAAAGGAGCAAACAATGTGTCAGATGCTACAGAAAAGGTGCGTGTGATGAGTTTGTGGATTGTATGTGATCTTCAAGATCATTGGATTTGATCTTCATGAGGAAAGCCTTTTGAAAACTGGAAGAGAACAGTTATCCTGGATTCATGGAAGTAAAAAGCTGATTGAAATGGGTGGGGGAACAAAGGATAAATAAAGAAGTGGAGACCATGGGTCAAGTGTACTAAACTCTCAACATCTATAAGAGCCGTCCAATCCCCAAAAGTGTTGTGCAGAATTCTGGGTGTGGGTATCAAGCTGCGTTTTCAGGAAGAGAAGCCATGACTTCACCATGTATTTAAAGAACTGTGTCCAGTGGCTGGCCCAGAGCTGCCAACACTCTGAGACTAAGCTTGTGGCCAAGGGCATGGGGCTTTCAGCCATTTAAAAAAAAGAAGAAGAAGAAAAAGAAAAAAAATAGCAGTTTGTTTTCCATAAGTAGAGTCCCTTTAAAACTTAACCTTAAAGAATTTATTTTCAGCTTTGAAAAATATTTCTAGGCTAAAATAGTTCCTCTCTGCCACCTCTAATGGATATTATTAAAATGTAGCCCAAGCATTCTCTATTTTATTTGAACATATTTGAAACAATTGCCTATAAAAATGAATTTTTATAAGCCAAATGATATTTCCTATTTACGTAGCCTGTCTTATAATCAAATATATACAGTAAGAATAATACAACATTTACCCAGCCGGCATAGCTCAGTGGTTGAGCTTTGACCTATGAACCAGATCATCACGGTTTGAATCCAGTTGGGCACATGCTTGGATTGAAGACTCGATCCCCCGTGGGGGGCATGCGGGAGGCAGCAGATCAATAATTCTCTCTCATCAATGATATTTCTATCTCTCTCTCCCTCTCCCTTCCTCTCTGAAATCAATAAAAATATATATTTAAAAAATTAATACAACATCCAAATAGTATATAAATCATAAATGTATAAGTGTATAAATGAAAGTAAACCCCAAATATAATAGTATAGACTTAAACAGTGTTTAACCACCAGGAAAATGGTATGTAGTCTGGGTTTCCGGGAAACAGGTTAGTGGTCATTCTCCATCCATTCACAGGAGTTCAAACTAGACTGTAACTCTCCTTCCAGATACCACATGAACAAAATTGCCCACTTTGTTGCTCTCTCATTCTGTAAGAATCAGTGACATGGGAGACCTGAAAAGATGTTTCTCTGGCTGGTTTTGAAAAAGAGAGCAAATATGTCAGGAGTCTGAAATTATGCACCTTGTGTCCTGCAGTGCCTGCTCTTAGGGATTTTTAGAGAATTCAGGCCTTACCTGCTGGGTGTTCAACAATCCTCAGGGTCATGTTTTCAATTCCTTTATTTCTCCCAGCAATGCTGGTTCCCAAGAGAGTTTCTATACAAAACTGATGATTTGAAGGGCATGAAGTATGCACCTAGTAATCACTGAGAAAGAACTGTGAAAATGAGGGGCTCCAGCAGTTTCAAAATTACATCTGTGAGGAATTCTGATTCTAGAGCATGTCTTTTCCCCCAATGAACCACCAGTGAAAGCTCTCATACCATATAACTCATACACTATCTGTATGTGCAATAAATCCTTGGATAAGTTGACTTATTTAAATGACTTAGATTCTTCTGGGTCAGTGATTTGCACAGCGGGGCTCCTTCGCCTGCAGCATCATCACCTGGGAATTTGATACAAATGCAAACTATTGAACCCCACACCAGACCTACTGAGCCAGTTTCCAGCAATCTGTTTTTGATGAAATCTAATGCTGGGACCACTGTTATTGGTCATACCTATGTTGATAAAGATCAAAGATGTTATTGTGTGTTTTCCAGGCAGTTGGGGAAAAATTCTGCTTGTCATTAAATAGAAATCACTTCAAAAAACCTGAGATAGCAATGTAGATACTGATATTTAATAATTTTTTCTTCTATAAACAATAGCTTATTTGGGTATAGGCAAATAATTATAAAATTAGCTCAATAATTTCCTCAAAGAACCATTTTTCTTTTGATAGTCATGATTTTGCAATAAATAATCACTCTGCAATCAAATAGGCAATTTCATATCCATTTCACAAATACTGTACACTCATTTGCCTATGAGATTACCTGCAGGTGTATTTTTAATGTGGCATTCATCTCTCTTAATATAGAGTTCTTCTTCCAGTACTTCCTTAATTCTCTTGTGTGGCTCACAATATAAAAATTTCTTCCCTGTAAAGACATTAACAAAGTTGGTTACATACTGTAAATTCTTCCCAACCTTCTAGCCATTACACTTATATGGGTAATTATTTTTTAAAAAAAGACATATCCTTTTATATCAATGCAGATGATAAATCCTGCAGACTCTGTTTTGGGAAGATCTCCTGGTTCTTTTGGGACTTCATACTGTTATATAATTCCTGAACTTTTGGGTAGTTTAAGATATCTCTTTTAGGTATTATGTGGAAATACATGGAGTTTTCTTCATTAGCTTCAAGAACACTTTCAGCCCTAACGGGTTTGGCTCATTGTCGGTCTGCAGACTGAAGGGTCCTGGGTTCAATTGGGGTCAAGGGCATATACCTCGGTTGCAGGTCCTCCCCGGCCAGGGGCCTGGACAGGGCACGTGCAGGAGGCAACTAATCGATGTTTCTCTGACATCAATATTTCTCTCTCTTCCCCCCCTCTCTTCTACTCTCTCTTCAAATTAATGGAAAAATATCCTTGGGTGATAATTAAAAAAAAAAAAAGAACGCTTTCATTAGTTCTATAAAATCCTATTAAAAACTTATTCTGTGCCAGGCATTTGGCTAGGGGCAAAGGACATAGCAACGAATAATTCAGATGTGAGCATGGAGTCTCCAATGCAGATATATAACAGAACAGCCTCAGCACTATTTAATCATCACTTTTAGAGACTGAACCTGAACTGTAGTAGTGAATCACTATGGACCTATGACTTTGTCCTGGCCTCCAACCTGGCCCTACAGGACATCACTGCAATGGTGGAGAACCGTGTTATTTGTTCTGAGTACCTTAGCTATATTTTTTCAGCTCTGTGCTATCTGACCCTGTCTGTCTCCCCAGTCTCTCCTGTTGGCCTTTCTCTCTTGTTCTCTGAGCAGTAACATGGCCCTCTTGACCATTCCCACATCTATTTTCTCTGCCTAAAGTGTGGTTCTCCTAGTATATTTGCACAGGGAACTTCCATTCAAATTTCAGGTGTAGCCTTAAATTTTTCTTTTTTTAAAAAAATATTTTTATTGACTTCAGAGAGGAAAGGACAGGGAGAGAGAGATAGAAACATCAATGATGAGAGAGATTCATTGATTGGCTACCTCCTGTACACCCCCTACTGGGGATTGAGCCTGCAACCCTGGCATATGCCCTGAACAGAAATTGAACTGTGACCTCCTGGTTCATAGGTCAATGTTCAACCACTGAGCCACACTGGCTAGGCAAATTGCAGTTCTTTAGGAAAACCTTCCCTGACTCCACAATCTCAAAATGCTCCTGGTTATTTTTCCTCATAGCATTCTCCTCTTTCTTTAATTTCATTTATCGCCATTTATATATGGTTTTATTTATTTTACATGCAATTACTTATATAACTAGTAACATATCTTCCTTACCAGACCATGAATAACCTAACCTAAAGGCAGGGATGTCTATTTAGTCACAGCTTGGCATAATAATAGTTGCTCGGCAAATGTGTGTTCAAATAGTATCAAGCATTGTTAAATCAGATAGAGCTCGCCCTGGCCGGTTTGTCTCAGTGGATAGAGCGTTGGCCTGGGGACTGAAGGGTCCTGGGCTTGATTCCGGTCAAGGGCACATGCCTGGGTTACGGGCTCATCCCCAGCGGGACGTGTGAGAGAATCAGCTGATAAGTGATGTTTCTATCTCTCGCTCCCTCTCCCTTCCTCTCTGAGAGCAATAAAAATATTTTTTTAAAAAAAAATTGGATAGAGCTCAAGACTATTCTATGTGCACGTCTGCCAATGCAGCCTTGTGAAAGTCAGGGGACCAGTAGTTCTAGTCTCAGTACTCAAAAGCTCAAAACAAAGAACCATGGAACACCTAAACAATAAAATAATTTAGCTATTTAATATTTGGCTTTAAACTCCCAAAGATATGGCAGATGCATCATCTTTTCCAAATTAACCAATAGAGAACACAAGTGAATAAATTTGGCTTATGTGCAGACTGGCCCAAATGGGGCAAGGGACCTACTGCTTCTGGCCGTGGCCCTGAGTCATGCCTGGTCATGAAGACCCCACACACCCTTAGACAAGGACAAGGTAGAGATACTTTCTGCATCTCATTCTTGTTTCCCCAAAGCTAGGAGTCACGGGAATGAGAGATGGGATCAGCAATACTCCAGTTTAACTTTGGTTTAAACTTTTTTGATTAAAATTTAGGCAGAAAAGCTTTTAAGAAATGTAGCTAAGAAGGGAGAAGAGCCTAAAACAGGTTAGTATAGAGGAAGAGACCACCTGCCTTAAGTTCAAGTCTCTTGACAATTTCAGCCCAGCTGCTAGAAGAATTTATAGAGGAAATCACTAAAGTTTTGAGGAGCTAGTATAAGCAAATATTCCCTGACCCCAAAAAGAAATGGGAGGGAAGGAAGGGAGGGAGGGAGGGAGGGAAAAATAAAAAACTAGCAGCAGTTTAATGTTGATTCTTTACCAACATTGTGAATGAATTGGTCAACAGATTGATTGTGAGTACAATGAGGAGCTGTGATTACTGTGTTAAGGGCTGCTGAAAACAATATTATTTCAGATAAAACTTTTGTTTTTTGTTAGGAGCCAATAACAATTGCTACAATTTATTGAATGCTACCATGCCCTAAGCATCTTACATATATTATATCTTTCTCACAATCACCCTATGGGTAGGTATAATTATTCCTAGTTTATAGGTGAAAAGGTAACTTCCAAAAGTCACAAAACTCATCAAAAAAATTAAGTCTTGCCCACCTGATTCTTCCAAACCCAAATTACTAACCAAGTTAGATTAGAGAGATGTGACCACAATGTATCTGCATTTCAGCCAGGCATTTGATAAAGTGCATTTGTAGGAAACAGAATGCCCATGTCATAGATGCTGATTGACAGGTCAGGGGCTTCTAGAGGCTCTTCTTGGAATTGTTGAGATCACCATCTAATTCGCTCACTTGAATGCAGAAAATGCCAGCAAACTAACCAAATGTGAGAATTGCACCAACTTGGTGAAGGGCAAACTCAGGACTCAAAGGGCTACTTCTATAACTGGAATGAAGTGCTAAAATCCATAGGGGGATAACGATACCAACTTGTATTTAGGAATTATGGATGCCATAGACTGCTTTTGTTAATGTATTAATAGTATAACGTGTCTGCCAAAACAGCTAAGGCAATTTTGGATCCACTTAAAAGGAGTGTCATGTTCAGATCAAAGGAGGATATAGTCCCACATACTATTCTAATCTGATCATACCTAGAATACTGGATTCAGTGATTCAGTAAACTGGAGAGCATCAGAACGGAAGAGGTCAACCATTATGGTGTGTGGGCTACAAATTATTTTAAAGGTAACATTGAAGTCCATGAAAGATTTGATAGGTGCTCAAATTAACCTTTATACAATTCAAGGATGAAATTATATCATTTTAATGGGAAAGGACTATATTCTATCTGTGTATATTTGAGAACATATCTGTGATTAGGGAGTGCAAGCTGTAGAGAGACTGCAGACCTTTCCAAAAAATAGACTGAAAACATTTGAAAATTGACAGAGTATTTTGTGTGGGTGTGAACGGCCTCTCTCTACTTAGGCTGAGGCCCTGAAAGGAGGTTCTCGGGGAGGCTGAGGAGGGAACTCTAAATGACTCTGTGAGCTTCCAGGAAGTTTAGACTCCTGCCTCAATTCATTACTCACTTCCCTGCAACTTGCCCAATGCCTGGCGTGAAGTAAGGACTCAGTATTTGTTGAGTTGATGAGTGAATGGTTAATTCTACCTTTTACACCTATAGCCACAGGAATAAAGAACCTTTAAATTCTAGCATCTTTAATGAGAAAAGTCCCAGATAAGAACTTTGTCAAAATAAGGAATTATTTAAATATACTAAATACTTCCATATACTGAATTAAGTTGCTCTAAGGCAGCGGTTCTCAACCTCTGGGTTGCGAACAATGAAAATACATCCTGCATATCAGATATTTACATTACGATGTATAACAGTAGCAAAATTACAGTTATGAAGTAGCAGCGAAAATAATTTTATGCTTGGGGGTCGCCACAACATGAGCAACTGTATTAAAGGGTCGCGGCATTAGGAAGGTTGAGAACCACTGAGTGAAGAGCGGGAAGGAGAAGGTGTAATGCAGCCTCCGAATCAGAGCCGCCCGCAGTCTTTCCTATGGAAGTGGGCCAGGAATAGCCCCCTAAAAACACGTCGGACGGAAACACTTTGCTGCATCTTATGACGGATGTGAAAATGTGTGCAGTCGTTCGTTTCCTTTTTATTTCTTTGGGTTAATTATAAAGCGTCTCTGCTTAGGGGGGATTTGGAGTCTTATTAAAAGAAAAAACGAATGCATGGAAAATAGGACCGTCTGTGTCTTGTAAGGGGCCGTCTAGCTAGTGTGTCCTCCTCGGGGTCTCATTTACGCGTCGTTAATGCTGAATCTGGGGCTTGGGT